TGTATATGCAGTACAGTTCACTCTTTGGTGTTTAGTTCTGTGAGTTTTGGCAAATGCATAGATGGAGTGGGCTTTTTAAATTTAAAATTTTGATGTAAGAAAAAAATTTTTTTCTGTTTAACTTTGTCTCAACGAGATGATGGATGTTCACTAAACTTACTGAGATCATCGTTTCGTGATGTACGTAAGTCAGATCATGATGCTGCACACCTGAAACTTACACAAGGCTGTATGTCCATTATATCTCAAAAAAACTGGAAGAAAAAATTTTTTTAACTTTTGAGATCATTGTAAATCCACATGTAGTTGTAAGAAATCATAGAAATCCTGTGTACCATTTACTCAGTTTTCCCCGGCAGTAACATGTTGCAAAACTATAGTACAAATCACAAGCAGGAAATTGACACCCATGCGATACAGTCTAGATACAGAACATTTCCATCACAAGGATCCCTGCCGGTGTCTTTTCATAACCACACCCAGCTCCCTCACCCCCATCCCAAGCGCCCGTTCAAATGCCCAGCAACTACTTATCTGGTCTTCATTTCTGTAATTTTGTCATTTCAAGAATGTTATGTAAATGGAGTCATGCAATAGTTAACCTTTGGGGACTGGGATTTTTCACTCAGCATAATTCCCTGGAGATTCGTCCAGGTAGATATCAATAGTTCGTCCCTTTTTAGTGCTGAGGAGTGTTCCATGGGCTGCTGTTCCACAATTGGTTTTGCTAGTCACCCGCTGAAGGACATCTGGGTGGTTTTCTGGTTTTGGCTGTTATGAATAAAGCTGTTATGAACAATCATGTGCAGGGTTTTGTGTGAACATAAGCTTGCATTTCTCCGGGATAAATGCCAAGGAGTGCACTTGCTGGGTTGCGTGGTAGTTGCTCGATGGGGCTTTGAAGGATGCATCTGGTAGGGAGAGACAGGTAGGGGTGGGGGCTTTGCTGCAGGTGGACACCAGTGGGAAGCACAGCCCGGGACCTCACCCCTGATACCCTGGGTGAGTTGCTTCATCTGTCTGTACGCTGTTACTACTTACATCTGTCGTGTATTGATATATAAAGTGCCCGGTACACAGTAGGTGCTCAGTAGATAGAAGCTGTTCTTAACATGGGTTAAGAGAAGACCCACCAGGCCAGAGCAGGATCTGTGCCCCAGAGGTGATCTCAGGAGGCCTTTCCCTTGCCCACTGTGGGCCCCGGGGCACCTCCTTTTTACCTTGGGCAGAGCTGTGCACCCAGTCGTCCCTCAAAGGCCGAGTTCCTGGCTTCTCCCTGAGAAGTAACTGGCCCCGTCCTCAGACTGGGCTCCGAGTCTCTGGACGGGCACTGGCATTCCCCAGTGAGCTTGGCCCGGCCCATGCCATGGATCAAAGGAATCCCAGGGAATTCCAGATTGTGCCAGGCTCTGATGGTCTGGATTTGCCTCACAGGGTCTGAGAATGTGCCCGGATCATTTCAGATGTTGCTACGATTTAGCCGGATTCCAGAAACGTGTGGAGCTCTTGCTGTAGTCAAGGCACCGAGCTAGGTGCTGCGAAGGGTTCAAAAAAAATCATTCTCTTTCAGCAGATCAACGCAGCCGACTCCAGCTCCTTTGGGAGCATCCTATGGCCGCATGATAAAGTCTGGCATTCGGAGCCTTTGGTCTGGGGTGACTCTGTCTTTCCTGCCCCTTGTCCTGCTGCTGCCCCCTCTCCACGTGCCCTGTGTGCCTGCCAGCAGTGTGCTCACTGCCCGCCTCCCGCCCCCCCGCCCACACCGTGTACAGGCCAGGCTGCCATCCTACGCTCACGCTTCCCTCTTCCCAGGTGCCTCTTCCCTTCATGTTGAAATCTTGCCTATTTTCTTTTTAATCAGAAAGGCGTTATGTGCGCTGGATGAAATCCTCAAATAGCACGTGTCCGTGTGTAAGGCTATACACTCAAAGTGCCTTCTCCCACTCCAGGACCACGTGGTTATGGGACCATGCTGTACTCCTCCTCTTGCTGTTTTCACTTACAGTGTTATCTTAGAGAGTGCTTCATATCTGTACCATTAAAATTGCCTCATTAACACTGCAGTAAAGGTGACATGGTATTTGTTTACATAGCTACACTGTGATTTCTGTTACCAGTCACCTGCTGATGGCCGTCTGGGTTGTCCCCACTCCTGGGCACTTCCAGGCAGTGCTGCATGTCATTGGTCCCTGTGCAAAGGGGTCTGTTTATGACTCAGCCCCAGGGCCCCCCTCCTCCATCTGCCTTCCATAGCTGTGGTACCTGTGTTCACAGCACTGTCTTTCCACGACTCCTGAAGACAGGGCTTGTGCAGGACCTTCCTCCTCCTTCCAGTGCCTGCCATGTTTACTGACCGCCCAGTTTCCCGGAGCATATGGTGCTCTGGTATTCACCAGTCACGCTGCCTCTGTGTGACCTGGCCTTGTAGGGGCTCCAGTGGGAGCAGAGCTGCGAGAGCTGGGACACCTGCACCGCTTCCTCCATCCAGCTTCGTGCTTGGTACACAGCAGCTGCATTGGATGGGCTAACGTGTTTCCATGGCGATAAGACTGTCTACAGCATCGTTCTTACTGGCCGCCTACTGTTTCACCAGAGGCATGGGCCATAATACAGCCAGTTCCCCGCCCCCCCCCTTTTTAAAAATTTATTTATTTATTTTTATTTTTGGCTAAGTTGGGTCTTCGTTGCTGCACGCGGGCTTTCTCTAGTTGTTGCGAGCGGGGGCTGCTCTTCGTTGTGGTGTGCGGGCTTCTCATTGCGGTGGCTTCTTGTTGCGGAGCACAGACTCTAGGCGCGCGGGCTCTAGAGCGCAGGCTCAGTTGTAGCACACGGGCTTAGTTGCTCCGTGGCATGTGGGATCTTCCTGGACCAGGGCTCAAAGCCTTGTCCCCTGCATTGGCAGGCGGGTTCGTAACCACTGTGCCACCCAGGAAGCCCAGCTAGTCTCCTCTTGATGGAATTTCGCTTTGAAAAGTTTTGATGGAATTTCCCTTTTAAAAAAATTTGAGAGGACAGATGCTTGGGTGTCCGTTGCTGAGAAAAGATCGGGACTTGCAGGCTCCCCCATGAAACTAGTGGCTGTAGCTACTTGTTTATTGAGCAGTTCTTCAAATGATCTAGGGCTTCTCACCGAGCAAGCCGAGCTCTCTTTTCTTATGATACAGAGTCATCTTCTGAGGCAGGCACTGTTGTCCCTATTGTATGGAAAGGGAAACCAAGGCTCAGAGAGTAAGTAACTTGGCAAAGGTCACTCAGACGGTACGTTTCAAGAGCTGGGATTCCAGCTCAGGTGTGCTTGGCTCAGGACCTGAGCTTGTAACCACCGAACCCTCCTGCCTTGTTAGGGAAGAAGGGAATGGGGAGGGTGGGTCACCCCTGGGCCTGGGGTAGTGGCTGGCGGCCCCAGAACTGAATCGAGGTTGCACCTAGAGAGAAGACGGCCTCCATCAGGCGTCCTCTCCGTCTCTGATCGGCACAAAGGGTCCTCTTGAAGGGAGAGTCCACGGCACCACTCCAGGCACTCTCCTGCTCACATGGCCCGCCCTGCTCCCAAGCCAAGCGTCCAGGGGGCTGGCTGGC